AACTCCAATCTGACCAGTGTCACCAGCCAAGAAGAAAACACGTACATTCAACATCGTCACGGCGGTGATACAGGATGGATAGGACTACAAGACATTGACAGTGAAGGAAACTTTACCTGGATTGACGGTACCAATGTTAACTTTACGTACTGGGCGAAGAACCAACCAAACGGTTACCCTGGAGACCAGGATTGCGTCCATACCCTGGGATTACGTCATGACTATCACTGGAATGACGTCACTTGTGGATCCTGTCACTCATACACTTGCAAAAGAGGTAGGTTTTATTCATTTTACCATATGTTAGACGTCTTTGCAGGTTTTGGATGTGTCCTGTGAATTCTTTGGTGATCTTTATTACCAGAACGTTGAGTATTCTTTTTATGTCTGCAATCTTTGCTAATATGATATTGATTGTGAAAAGACAAACAAAATCGTAAACAATAACGATAGTAGCTGGAGATCGAGAAGGATCTGTCCTACGACTTTCATATATGGTTGTGTATTCCCACGGCGCTACTTCGGCACTACTTCGCACCAAGTTGTGCATAAGGTCTTTTTCAAGCTTTTCCACTTCTCTCGTCTCACTGCTACTGCTATTGCTTCCTCTTCTGTGTACCGAATGTAAATTATTTCCTTTCTTTCTGGACTGTGTTCGTCGCCAAGTTGTTTGCTCTCTACCCTTTGCGTCTTCTCTCCTGCATATGGACAGAAACATATGAAAGTCGTACCACAGACTCTACTCAGTAGCTGTGTCTTAAGAATTTAAGTTTCAACGTGTTAAAACACGGTAAATACTATCGCGTTAAGCTTCTCGTTTATATAACCATTCAATGCATAGTCGATTGCTTCATCACCAGCAATGTTGACAGTTTCCACGCTGTTTTTCCTTCAAGATATAAATGAATGTTCCGTGGTTGATTCTTGCCATCCTGACGCCTTTTGCACAAATACAATTGGATCGTACATCTGTCAGTGCAATCCTGGTTATAATGGTGATGGAAAATCATGCTCAGGTATTCAGTTTACACTCAGCTATTCATCCTTTCACTTGGTTCATTTACAGACTAAACTCTTTGATCTTTTAATAGATGTTGATGAATGCTCTTCAGCTGTTCATACTTGTGATGGCAACGCACAATGCATAAATACAAAAGGATCCTACACCTGCAATTGTCACGTTGGCTTTAGCGGTGATGGAAGGAATTGTTCAGGTATATATACATAAACTTGACGTATAACGTGAACTCGCGCTTTCTGTACTGGTTCAAGGCTTAGCATTACTTAAGAATGTGATTCTGATGGTTATTGTTTAATACCAAAGTCAGTCATCCGCTATATGCAACTATATTTAGCTTGCATATCGATCATCATTATAAATTCTTTGTTTATTACTTCCAAATCTAGGCGCATAAAATTATTGCAACATATTGTTGCCCTGAGCTTATATAGTGCTATTATTGTTTTCTTTGGGACAATGTACATTAAAGTAGGACCACAAAATTTCTTTATTTGTACATGCTCAGTATAAAATTGAAATAATTGGGAATTGGCGACAAATATAATATCTATTTATATCTTTTATGTTCAGCTTACTTATCCGTTGATAAAGTAAATAAAGGTTGCTCGGGAAAGCACATAACAACTTCCTCCTACATTTTGTAAATTTATCTAAGTAACTTTGATACATATCTACGGTGAAAGAATTTTATTTCTAAACTTTATAAATGTAAAATATGAGAACACATCTGATCTTTGATGACTTCGGTTTATTGTAATGCACGTTGTAGACAAAGTGCTTTAACATCCTACTCTTGCTCTTTAGACGATTAAGAGTTCGAGGAGGTATGCTACTGGTTCGGAATCACGAGTAGAATGAAGTCGTCGTCGATTTATGCTTAGAAATGATATCTGAGGCTAGTTTTGTTTTGTGCGATTGAATGCTCACTCGTAAATAGCCGTTTTGATATCGAGTTTAAAGGAATAGAAGAATCATTCACGATAGAATTTGTTCTCTCGCAATATTCGCTCGTAGTATATCGCACGTAAAGTAATCTGTCTCCAAGTTTGGGGAAAGTATCGTCCCAAAATGGACAGACACTATCTAAACACTTGTCCGCCATTATTGTTAATGCAGACCGTGCAGTTCGTCATTTCATTGTGCGCATGCGTACTTCTATCATAGCTGCGTATGCATGCGCTGATCCTGGTCATTTTGTTGCTGAAGAGAGAAAATAACACTAACAATGCTGAATTTATGACTCGCCGTTTTCGCGCGAGTAATGACTAGTACTCAATACACATGATGTGAGGACACGCTTAAATGGAAAGGAAAGTTCTGATCTTGCCACTCATCTGAAGTTCTCAAGCACGGTAAAAGCTAATTACAAACTATATGACTAGTTCGGTCGACACAAGCTGAGGTTGAGGAATCTCCACCAGAAATACTAGTTCTCAGTCGGAGTGCTTGTGTAGTAGGATTTCCAATCTCAAGCAATGTGTTTGTGTACTGGAGACCGCGCTTGCGAAGGAGGCTAAAATTTCATACCGTTAACGGCCTCAATATCCATCACCATTGAAAAAATATTATTTGTGATTTTGGCTCAGTAGGCTCTGACCTCCGTACTGGTTTATAAATTTAGTCATTATGATAAGACTAAGCATTGAATAACAATGTCCTGTATTGCAACTAATTCGTACCCAATTCCCCTGTCTAAATGCTGTGATCTGAAATTCTTTTCAGCATCGGATATTCGTCTCGTTGGATCATCTAACAGGTACGAGGGACGTCTTGAAGTTTATCACAATGGCCAGTGGGGTACAGTCTGCGATGATGTCTGGGACCAAAACAGCAACGGTGGTACCGTCGCCTGCAGGCAGCTCGGGTTCAGTGGTGTCCAGTCCTACGACACCGATATATTCGGCCAAGGGACTGGCATTATCTGGTTAGATGATGTCACGTGCACTGGTACCGAACAACGAATACAAGACTGTCCCCATCTTATCATACCAAATGGAGTTCTGTATTGCAGTCACTCTGAAGATGTAGGCATAATATGCATTCCATGAGGGAACTGTTACCGTGGGTTTCCTGTGTTATGATTTGTTTGAGCATGCGTGGTCTCAGTATTTTCGAGGCGGACACGAGGCCACAATTTCGAGTCTAGAAAACTGCTTCAAGATTTTATTAAAATAGTGTAAGACAGCCGCCGTGTAGTAATTAACGCCATTGAAATTGGATATATAAATAAAACACTTGAAATCACAATTCTAACGATTGTTGACTTGATTGTTGACTTGATTGTTTTAGTTTTTCCAGCGAAATAAGGCTTAAATACGGCATATTTCACGTGCATTTGTCTGAAGGTTGTATGACATTCAGTAGTCAGCGTATTTGATAGATATGTAAGTCGTGAAGTTTATCACCTTATGAAGTAAACGTTCTTGGATGGCAAAAAGGTGATATTATCGAAACTATTTCATTAGGGACTTTTAAAAGCTCAGACATTTGAATCACTTTACCACTAAGTATTTTACATAACAGCATTCCTCGTAGAGAAGGTTATTTTATTCCGTGCAGACAATCCTTTGACTCTGAAACATTCTCGTATACTCGAAATAGATGTTACTATTATTAGCCTGAGTTCTTTTAAAGATATGTACGCAAAAAGCCAACTTTTATAAATACTTAAAATACATTGATTGAATCATTGGCAATAGACTAGGCTAAGCTAGCTAACATATTCATGAATTTAGTCTTTCTTCAACCATTTTGTTGATGTGCATGTTGTTGTGTCACTTCTTATCCTTGAAGTGACGAGTTTGTGCTTTCTTTACCCTTGCAAACTATATTGTCTTTCACTGACTGACCAAAGGTTGACACAAAAGTCTTCCGTGTTCCGTGTGTCAGCATTCTTAAGCGGAAGACCAGCATATATGTTCTTCACTGTGAAATTTACAGGCCAAAATGATGTACCTTCCGAGATGCCTTTTTCAGTCTATGGATATTAGACTCTCTTAAACTCTTCAAAAGTTTTTAAATGAGGCAAATTGCTACAAACACAAAATTAGCGTTTCAAAAAAATATTCTTGGTTTAAAAAAACATCTTTTGACTTTATATACTGTTCGTTTTTGAGCTATTTTAGTCATAAACTTAGGTAAAGCTGCAAATGATGTACTTCCATCTTCTCCTCGACGGTTTAAACAAAAGAAAAAGCAAGGAGAATATAATCTTCGCAAAGATTATTGATAAATTAACAACTGCTCACTACTGAGCTAAAATCTTAAGGTATCAGCGTACCCAAAACCGTCACATTTTAATGATTTTTTGATTTTTATATCATTGGAAAGATCGTTTGTAGATCTAGGTATATAGTAAAGTTTTGAAAAGATACGAAGTTTACAACAAAAGTTATTGCGCTCAAAAGATTTTTTAGTCTTAATTGGATTAATGGCGTTGATGACAGCTCACATCAAACGAGTTTTATATATGACCGTTTAAAGCGAGAGTCGCCTTGAAGCATGCCGTAAGATACAAAAGAATATGTCTATTTGAAGGACTCCAATAAGCAATATATTCGATAAATATGCTCACCGGCAGTTTTCATATGGATTAAGTATTTTAATACTTTAAAAAGTCCGTCCCGGGATCGAGAGTTGATCACCCTCATGTTGTTGATTCTCGATATCATATTCTGCTTCTTTTTCTCTCTTATTTCTCTGGATCACTCAATCATTTCTTTCTCTTGTATTAGTTTATTATGATTTTCCACGTTTTGATTTGAAACGGTCAAAATTTGCGAGAATAGGAATAAACTATACATTATATTTACAATTAGCATATYCTTGCTTCGCTTTGCTATCGCTAATCTTCTTGGCCTTTGGCATTCCTGAACATTATCGAATATTAGCTTCGGCCTAACCGAAATTTGGTACAAAAAACTGTATATTTAGTAAAATCTTACGAGTTACAAGTTGATGTTTTTGAAAGAACTGCCCGTTCTACTTAAATCGGTTTTATAGCTGTCATCGCATCTTTTATGCTAACATGACGTAGATTCCGGTATGGTCTTATAATCTGTTATTACTCGGTATAATCCCATTACGGGCTAAAAACTGTTTTTGACTCATTTCTCGAAACAAAATTTACGGCAAGTAGGGCATACGTTTTAAACTCCAAGTCAGATACCCGTAAACCAATTTTATTCAAATTTCGTAGCATTGTTTACAAATAGTTAAGCAACAAAATGGTGTCTGGGATTTTGATAAGTCGTCTTTTTTCAAAAGTTATTCAAGGTTCTTTAAAGAACTTGACATAATTTTGCGTTCCTAAACTTTATTACAACATTAAATCAAAACGAGAGCGCGTATAAAAAATCGCAGACACAATTTTTGAGACAAATACGTGAACAAAAGAACAGCGCTTAAATTGAATTTTTTCCGATAATTCTTTCAGACTTGGAGTTCGTTTTATACAGGCATGTAGTTTCAGATAAAGGAGCTAATAACTCTAAAACATAATTTTAAATGCATTTCAAACACTTATAGGCATAAACTACAGTTACTAAGCTTTCAGAAAATATATACTTTGTGAGCATTTGCAAAACAACAAGAAAGTTATAGTCGATGACGCGAGTAGGGGTCGCGTGGGTACGCTGATACCTTAAGAAAGTCTCATTTAATCAAGAATGATTAAAGCCAAGACAGTCACTATGTAAGGGCGTTACTACGAGGTACTGTTTCAGTTGCTACAAGTCGTCGTGACGAGTGGAGCAAGCAAAAATGAAGTTATTACATGTTTTTTTCTTGGTTTTTGCTCTTCTAATTAACAAGTACAACAATTCTGAGGAATTTAAAAGTGATACCCAAAAATAATTTCTGTACTTTTGTACCATAGAAGCTATTTAGTATTGAAAAAAGTCAATTTTTGCTTAATTCTATAATTTAATAGTATTTGCATTTGTATTTTTAGGAATTCAACATGGAACTCTTCGCATCGCGCAGACAAACTCTGAATTCAATTTAAATAGTTTGCATTTTTTATCCAAGTACAATACTAAACAATGCAATTTAATCTGCGGATGGTCAATTAGACGGTTTTTACCCTTTACCGGAAGTTCACGATGTTTTGATGGCAATTAATGTAAAAAGTATGTTTTGAGGAAGTAAATACTATGAAAGGGTGCTACTACTGTTTTGTTTGCTAAGTCGTCGTGACGAAACCAGCTAACATGAAGTTATTTCGGGCTTCTTTATTGTTTTTATCTGCCATATTCTCTGTAGAAAGTAATCAACTGTTTAGTGCTTTATGATTACCGAGAAAACAATTTTTAAGGTCTTTGAAAGTGAACTCTTTGTATGAAAAATATTTGTAATTTTGAATCCCGTTTTTCAGTCCTATTTCTCAGGTGTTGGAAATGAAATACTTCGCTTTGGGTAGAAAACAAAAAACCTGACAATAACTGTAACTGGAATCCAAATTCCGGGAATCCAATCTGTGTGTATTCTGTTGCTATGTTGTTGTTGGTAATGTATTTGTTGATGATGATGATGATGATGATGTAGCTGCTGTGTTTTTCTTTTTCTTCGTTTTTGTTTGCTTTGCCAGTGATAAATCACATTAACACTGTAGATTAAATGTGTAACGCCTTTATTTTGTTATAATCTTCATATCCACATCATTCATATTGTACAATGCTTAATCATAATTTAAACCTTTGCTTACTTTCTTCTGTTGCAAGGTACTGAGAC